GCATCAGAAGGTTTTTTGTTTGTTGTTGTTTTGCTTTGTTTTCATAGTCCCAAGAACTCTCTGGGAAAAGTTTGTAACTATTGTTCTAAGCTGATACACAGCTGACCAGCCTAAAGGTGCTTGCAACCAAACAAATGAGCAAGATCAAAGCAGCGAAGAAGTGAGCTTTCAGTTGAGAGAAAGGAAGGAACCTAGGCTGTGGCCTGTGCTTAACAGGCAGTGGTCCTGGAAGAGTCCGGCCACAGGAATAACAAATTTCATCCCTGCAGAGCCAGGCATGCCAAGGCATGCTGATCCCCCTGAGATCCACTGTTGCGGGGAGGGGGGAGGGAGTGGAGAGGGGGACAGAAGGAGGGTATGGGGGGATGGCAGTGGAGGGGAAGAGGCTGGGATCTGTGGTGAGTAGCTCAGATTGTGTACAGAGGTACTCACCTTACCAGATGGGGCCTTGTCAGATTCTTGACTTTGAGAATAGAAACCAGAAATATAGATGTTTCAATTTTTTTTAAACATTTATTTATTGTGTATACAGCATTCATTCCATGTATACCTGCAGGCCAGAAGAGGGCACCGGACCTCATTACAGATGGTTGTGAGCCACCATGTGGTTGCTGGGAATTGAACTCAGGACCTTTGGAAGAGCAGGCAATGCTCTTACCCTCTGAGCCATCTCTCCAGCCCCCTCAATTTTTAGTGTAAAAAAAATTAAATAAAAATTAAATAAGCAGACCTAGACCTGCAGACTCAGAGCTGGCCCCTACTGTGGGGCTGAGGTCTGAACCAGCCCTGGGCTCTCTGTGGGAGAGGGCCAGAGAGTGTGGGCTGAAAAGCTGAGAAGGTAGAATCCCTGAGGGAGGGGCCACATGGGAAAGAGCAGGCTGTGTATAGAATGGGGGCTCCTCGGGAGGGAGCAGGCTGTGTATAGAATGGGGGCTCCTCGGGAGGGAGCAGGCTGTGTTGGGAATAGGGGCTCCTCTTCTGCTGTCCCAGCCTTTCAAGGTCTGCGGAGCCTAGAAGGTGGTGGGCAGCTTCTTTTCTCTCTCCCTCCCCCCCCCCCCCCCCCCCCCCCCCTCCCCCCCCCCCCCCTTCCCTTTTTTCCTCCCCCCCCCTTCTTTTCCTTTCCTTTTTGGTTTTTTTAAGACAGAGTTTGTCTGTGAAACAGTTCTGGCTGCCCAGGAACTCACTCTGTAGACTCAAGGAGCTCCGCCTCCACTGCTGGAATTAAGCCAGGTGCTACCACCTCAAGTTTCTTTTCTGAACCAGGGCACTTTCCCAGCAGGCCTCAGGAGAGTGCCAAGAAACCAGCTTTGGTGAAGGGTGCCTCTAATGAGCAAGACTCTCCACAGAGGAGCTCTGGGGGTAAACCGAGGCAAATCTCCTTTATTTACATGAATCCTATCGGGTGGGGGACTGTAGTCAAAAGGAGGGCAGTGCATCTGGAGTCAGCAGAGAAGACAGACGGGCCAGGCCACGCCTGTGGGGTGTAGGATGGAGATATGAAGACCCACATGGCCCAGAGTCAGCATGGGCCTTGGGAGCCATTCCCAACCCGGTCTTGGCCCTGGTGAGGAAGCACTAGCCTTGCTAACTTGCTGCAGCTGTGTTCCATGCTTAAGATGAAGAAAGCTTGGCGGTGTGAGGGCGCTCCCTATGGAAGACCCAGAACCCTCAGGGAAATGATGCTTGGCCCCAAAGGCAGTAGGAATCATGGGGTAGAAGGGTCATGGGTATTGTATGGTGCTGATCTTTGTGCACGGTCATGTGTGTGTTTGCATGAGGGCTGCACATCCATGTACAGTACATGTGCATGTGCCTGCGGACAGACGACAGAGGATGACCTCCCGCTGGTCCCAGGTGCTGCTGACTTTTTTTAAGTTAAGGTCTCTCACTGACCTGGAATTCCCCAACTGAGGTAGGCCGTTTGGTCCCAGGGATCCTCCTGTCTCTGCCTCCCCAGCCCCACGATTACAAGGGCACGCACACACACATACCCCACATACTTTTCAAAGCTTGAATTCTGGCGGGGGGGGGGGTCACAGGTCCCCATGCATGCAAAACAAGCAATGTACTCACTGAGCCATCCCCAACCTTCTGGTTTGGGTCTTAAATGTTCCCCAAAGTCTTGTGCATTAAAGGCTTGATCTTCAGCTTGGTGCTATTGACATAAGGTTTTTTGTTTTTGTTTTGTTTTTTGTTTTGATTTTGTTTTTTCGAGACAGAGTTTCTCTGTAGTTTTGGAGCCTGTCCTGGAACTAGCTCTGCAGACCAGTCTGGCCTCAAACTCACAGAGATCCGCCTGTCTCTGCCTCCCGAGTGCTGGGAGTAAAGGTGTGCACCACCGCCCGGTTTGACATGAGGTTTAAAAACAAAAAAAGAGGTGGAGCCTTGTGGGATACCTTTAAGATATTTGGGGAATACCTGCAAGGAGCAGGGGCATTTTAGCCCCCTCCCTGTCTTTTGTTTCCTAGCTGAGAGGTACTGGTTTTGCTCTGCCTGTGTTCCCACCATGACACATTGTCTCACTACAGGCCCAAAGCAATGCATCCAACAAAGGGTAGAGAGAAACCTCTAACACTCTGAGCCAAAGTGAACCTTTTCTCTTATAAGGTGATTTATAAGGTAACGCAAAGCTAACTCACCTGAACAACAATGGGGAAGCCAAAGGGCCAGGAATGCCCCCAGCTTGATGCAAGGAGAACACCAGCTAAACAGCTGCCCTAGGTCAAGTACCATATGCTTATACTGAGCCTGGGTGACTTGGCATCAGAGAAGAAGCAGGGTCGGGAGAAAGCAGAATGTCCAGATTTGAGGAATTCCTAAGAGAGGATGATGGGAAGTGGTTGGGTTGTGGATGTCACATTCACGGAAGCTGGGGTTCATGAAAGATGAAAGTAGACCTACTGAGGAGGACAGAAGCCACATCTGTCATGACTTTAGTTAGTAAAGGAACCAAGAAAAGCGGAGGATGAGGAAGGGGGATTTCTGGTACTGTGGTCATTTAAAAGCGATGGGGCCATATCCATCACACCGAAGACAAGAAGAGGTGAGGCTGAAAGCAAAGGGAGAAGAGGACTAGATGGGGAAGCTGGTTCAGGGTCTCCAAGGGCAGAGCTTGCGTCACCGTGGCAAACAGAGAGCGTCAAGGGCAATGGTGAAATAATAGAGCAACTCGTTCTGCGGGAGCAGAGAGAACCCGGAAGAGAGCTGAAGAACTGCCACGCGCATTCTGGAAATGTTCCCCTTGACAATGCCCAGGGACAGATGGGAGGCATCATCCTACGCCCTGATGAGTGAGATAGCAATCCAGGCAGCTGGTTGGGTCTGGATTGTGTATGAAAGGACCGCACCACACGTAAACGCTTGGTAGGATAAACATGCTACTCCAGCCTTTACCCATTTCCCCACCAGCTGGACTCCTGCCTTTGGAGAGGTGGGCAGAAAGATGCCACATGCTCACAGCACTGAGGAGGAAGGACCAGGAACTTTTAGACCAAGTTGACGGGTTCTCCCCCCCGCCCCACCGCTCTGGAGTATGTACAGTTGTTGAATATAGAGCAGAGACAGATGTACAGTTGTTGAATATAGAGCAGAGACAGTCAGATGCCCCTGGGGTATTCGCACAGCAGACCGTACTGACATCAGACGGTGACAATGGAGTCAAGACTGACGTCATGTGGTGGTGTTCCTTACGTCCTTTTGAAATAATGCCTTGCTCTCCGTGTAAAGTCTAGGGCCTGTGTTTTGCATGTAACACTATAGCATAAAGCTACTTTTGTGTAGAGCAGGTGTGGTGCTGCGGTGCTGCGGTGCGGCATGACGCTAACCGTAGCACTTGGCAGGTGGATAGGTGACTTTGAGGCCAGCCTGATCCACATACAGTGTGCCAGGACAGCTGGGAATACAGCGTGAGACTGTCTCAGCCAGCCGGCACACAGGCAGACACCACGTTACAACCCGCTAGTAACTTCATATAGTATTTCTCCTGTATCATATATGCCGTGATTTAATTATTCTCTGGTTTTAGACATCAAGATTTTAATTACTGTAAATAACCTGTCAAGAGCCTTTGTATCCTTAAGATTTCTCTAAACTCAGATCCTCTCCCTGGAATAGATTTCTCAGAATAAAATTAGATGTCAGAAGCTAGAGGCAGTCTAGGGCTTTACAAGGTGGCTAACTATGGAGTCTGCCGCCCACATGAGGGCAGCTCCGCAGCTGCCTCTGTCATAGTCTTGCCCTGGAGTGTGGCAGGCAGAGGGCTTCCACCTACAGAGGGTTCCCAGGAACATACTTACAAGTGACCAGATGAGGAAGACCACAAACCCTTGACTATGGCTATCCTTCAGCTGCAGGTTCGAAGCCTGCACTGCTATGGCATCGGGCAGCCTGGCCAGGCCCTTTCATGGGGCAGCCTCCTGCTGAGTGCCACCTGCCCAGCTGGTGGGCAACGCTATGAAACAGACTGGGAAGTTCTCGGAGTCATTCCAGGGCTTGCTCCCGCTGGGAGAAAAAGGCGGTTCACACTGGCCTAAGAAGTTTGGAGGTGGTGCCAGGGCTGGGGTGCCTCCAGCAACTGACTGCCTCCAGCAGAGCCCCCAACTATCTGGGCACCTCTGCACCCTCCACCCAGGACCAAGCACCCGGTAAGTAGATACTCAATATAGATTTGCTGAGTAACCGCAAGGCCACAGAGACCCAGAAGGATATTAAGGGAAAGGAATCTGGAGAGGTTTTGAGCCATCTCTGAGGTGATTGTGTTTGCCGCTGTTTAACGGGGTGTTTGTCTAGTGTTCCCCGGGTCTGTCCTCTTGACTCTCCTACAGACTGTCTGACAGCCCTGAGCCCACCCGCCGGATTCAACGTGCTCCCTGCCCTTGGTGCTGAGTGCAGGGTGGGCTGGGTGACCTCGGGGGACCCAGACTGGTGAATGTAGGCGGAGCAGGGCCAGAGCGCTCCCCCACCCCCACCCCGGGCTCTGTGAGGCTCCGCCCGCCCCAAACGGCACCGCACAAGGAGCCTAAGGCTCCACTAGAGGAGCCCAACCTCAGGACGAGCCAACAACCCCGCTGCACACCTGGCTCCCTCTGCTTCCAACCCGGTAAGTCCCGGGCTCCTGCCCCTGGAACAGATGCCCTCCTGGGACCATGTTTCAGTCTCAGCCTACAGAGGTCACTCATATTGGGGCCGTTATTCAGCTCCTAGCCAAACCCCTGTCAGCTTGTCTTCACTTCCAGGAAAGTCATAGGAAAACATTTTGCTTTTATTAACTCATAGGCATTCTCGGAGAAAATTTGGAAAATATCTAAAGCATCAAAAGAAAATTAAAACCACCACCCCATTGCTCAGCCTCAGAGAGCCCCTACCCTCAGCTCAGCAATACACGAAGGCACAGCAGCCACGACGAGACTAATTTCATTTTTATCACCTTACTCGTTTATTGATTTTGATCAGGAAGGCTCCTGGGTTTTGGCCTTTTTCCCATGGGAAAAGCACAGGACGAGAGAACATGACTGGTATCAGATCATGAGGGCAGAGGAAATGGGAACGTTCTAGAAGAAAGCTGTTTTACAGCCCAGCTGTGTGCCTGATCCCTAACCCACTCCTCTGAGATCAAGAGGGCTCTCTGGGTCATTTAGGGCACCCCCGCTCTGGGCTGTTCAGATGTCTGCACCGCTAGCTCACTTCAGCACGAGAAGCACCGGCCATCCCTGCAGAGGGAGGAGGACTAACTGTAGCTGCCATGTGTGGCCAGGGAGATGGGCCCTTTGCTGGTTCACAGGCACTGCTTGGATTCTTGGGGGTAGTGGGAATTTCAAGCAGTCCTGACTGGGGCCAAAACTTCTGCCTGGGTTTTTCCAGCAAGTGAGGAAGGAACCCCAAATTCCCAAGGAAACAGCCAAGACATCACCCCGCCGGGCTTGCATGAGATAGTGGATTGGGAATGAATCCCAAATACAGAAGCGCTGAAGGACCTCAGAGAGATTCACACAGGTCATCTTCGTCTCTGGGGTGAGCAGACTCCTGTGTGGTCTCTTTCTGGGGGTCAGATGGAACTCGAGGCCGTCATGCATGCATGCGTGCATGCCTGCTTCTGATGAACGATTACTGCATTCCCACCAGACACAGCCTCGGTTCAGCTGTTCTGGAGAGAATGGAAAACTGCACACACGAAGATCCCTGCTCTAAAACCTTGCCTTTTGGTAGCCTTACATCTTTCTGGGGATAGGGTGAGTTTCAGATCCATATAGAGCAATATAGATAATGAAAATTGTATCATGCAAAGGATTTATTAAAAATAAAAAAAAACAATATAAACTTTAGTAGGAGAACATCCTGCATTTCCGGGGCTTTCCTGCAGTCATCTGCAGAGTCACAGATGACTCCCAGAATGCAATGCGCTTTCTTTCCTATTTACTCTCTCACCGCAGTGGTATCGAGTCTGACCCTGAGCTCTCGTTTACATAGCAATTCCTTCTTGAAGTAATCTCACAACTGGAGTAGGGAACAGAAGTAGATAATAGTCTACAGACTTGACAGGTTCCTGGAAGGAAATGTCCAGACTTGCCAACACTCCAATCATAGGAGAGAGAGAGACTGGCACCATGAGGGGCCAGCACAGGGAGACCAGCTGGGGTTTTCACAGTCTGCTGTTCCATCTAGCCTTTGAAGAACCAGTGACCACAGAGACGTTCTGCACTTGCTCCTGAAAAGAGCAGGGGCAAAGGTCATGGCAGGGTCATTTGATGTTGCTTACAACCCTATGGTGTGTGTATGTAGACAGGGTAGAGTTCCCCATCCCAAGCTTTCAAATGGGAAAACTGAGGCTCCTTGGGTTGACTTGATTTGCTGAAAGTACAGTGGTAGGAACTTATAAACGACTTCAGTTGTCGTTTGTTCTTTATCCAAATTCTCACACCCTTCCCCTGTTGAACCTTCTGTGCCTGCATTTCCATTCCTCAGGCCCCAACCTCCAGGTCTGTCACCCGCGGGGAGGTCTGGGGATGCCAGGGGAACAGAACCAGATTCAGAGGCTGCAGCCCGCATGCACCCAGGAGATGGCAGATAGAAGCTTTCCCGTTTGAGGATAGCAGGTCTGGGTCTCCACACTTTGACCTAATTCCTTGAGAAGGCCTGTCTGCCTCAGTCCCCAGAGGAGAAATGGAAGACCAAGGCAAGGCCAGCTCGCTGCCTGGAGAGTCCGGAGGCCCCTTGCTAAGGGATAAACATAGCATGCGTGTTTCCAGAATTTGGACATAGGATTGAAACAAAGGCACAAGCAAGAGACAGTTGCTTCCGGTGACAACTGGTGTAAATTCTAGGCTCAGCCAAGGTCACGCTCATCCAAGTCAGGCCTATCTAGAATTGCTCTTGCTCTCAGTCGGCTTCTGAACACATAAGGCCAATGCCTCGGAGACTCAACCCCTGCGTCTGGCTTAAGGAGTGCTCTTTTGAGGGAATGCTCCAGAAATCCTGTTAGTGAGAACAAGAATGCACCCCACTCCACTGAGATAGGAGTGATTAGGGGAGGGCTCTTGGTTCACCCAAACCTGAGAGGGACAGGAGCCAGACCCCAGCTCCAGCCATGACCCCCATCTCCCCTGTCTATCCTGGAACCTAGTGTTAGAAGAAAGCCCTGCCAGGCGGGCAAAACCTAAGTCCTCAGAATGTTGCCAGTGTTGGGAAAGCCTTTGTTCCCGAAGCCTCCAGACTATTGTCAGTGCTGATAGGTAACCTAATCAGAGCACACGGCGTGGGGGCAGGAATACAGAGGGCGCACTGGGGGTCACACATGCTCCACTCGCAGCTGCTCAGTCCTGCTCAGCCTCCGAAGTCTGAGTCCTGAGCGACCTCCAGCAGGCCTGCAGCTCCACGCCTACGCTTTCAAGGAAAAAACACACTTGCACTGTTCTGCCTAGGACCATGCCCCTGTCTCAAGCCCAAGATCTGCGGAAATGTGTAGAAATCCCAGTCAGTGCCTGGGTGAGAATATTCCACCTGAGCTGGGCCCCGGGTTGGTGATGGTTGAAGCTGTGGGTTCGAGGGTCCTACTGTTGCTGCCTCGCCCGCCTGGACCCGTGGTCAGGCTCTCTCGGGACAGTGTCCGTGGAGAACTTAGAGGGGGCAAACCTCTAGTAATCCAGGGACTGTTAAAATCAGTCCTCACATGTGAGACCCAACTGACCCGAGACGTGGCTGGTTCCAACTCCTATCTACAAGGCATAGAAACTCCGTTTGCTGTACTGATAAAATGGGAACTGGTAGCTAAAGAATTGTGCTTCGTGTGTTTTGATAGGATGGATAAACTTGGGGTTATCATCTCTGCACTGTGGGGCTCAGATTTCTGCAAATTAAAATGAATGGATCAGTTGCTCTCCACAGCCATTGGAGTCCAGCGGTCTTGACACTGGGGCCGCCAGGCCGTGGGGGCTCCGCCACTGTCATGGACGTGAACTTGGGGATCTGACATAAGTTCCCAAATGGCAGACTGGACCCTGTGTCATTTCTGCCAGGACTGTCACAGGGCCACAACAAACTCAATTGAAGTCTCAGTATATGAAATGCCATAGTGAACTGTCTGCAGGCTTTGTGGGGTACACAAAAGCAAGGCAAGGCAGTCATGTAAAGGATGGAACGATTCCCATAAACTGTAGAGCTGTTATCTGAAAGGCAGGTGCTTCCACTGGCTTTTCTGGCCTAGCATAAAGCTAGTCATGGTATAAGATGCCAGGACGAATCAGCACAAACATAATGAAAGCGATGCTTTCTGGAGAAGCAGGCAAGACCGAGAAAGATCTGGGAAACAAGAAAGATGAGAGCATTCGACCATGAAGCCATGCTCTGTATCTCGGACAGTTAGTTCCGCCAGGTGTTCTGTAGAAAACATCAGTCCATTCCCTAAGTTTCCACTGCGCAGCCTGGATGGTGCAAACCTGACCATTAGTGCCACTCAGGAGTGTAGAACTCTGTGACAAAAGGCACCTAGGCTCAGTAATACACAAGGAATTCATTTCCAGCTGGGTGTGTAGCTCATTTGGGAGAGTACTTTATTAGTGCATGATGCCCTGGGCTCGTCCTCAGCAGGTGTGAGCTAGGCGTGGTGACATAATAGAGCTCCAGCATTGGGGAGGTGGAGGCAAGACCCTTAGGAATGCAAGGTCATCCTTGGTACAGAGTAAGTTCTAGGCCAGTATGGACTGTATGAGACACTTACAAGAGGGCAGTTCCCTCTTCCTGTTCTGGAGGCAGAAAGACCGAAGCCAAAGGCTCACACCTAACAAGAGCCTTCTTCCTGTACCATCCCATAGTGGAAGAGGAAGGAAGAGAGTGGGGTGAACAGCCCCAAACTCATCCTAACCACCATTTAAAAGCTCCATTTCTCAGCACGGCTTCATTGAGAATTCTCTCCAGCACCTGATTTGGGGACACATTCAAACCATAGCAGGAAGCTTTTTAAAAGTCCGGAGTCTGGCAGGAGCAACATCATTAACATCTCTGAGGTGGGATCCAGGCATCATTATTTTCTAAGCGCTTCACAGACAGATGCTCTTAAAGTTAGGGAGCCTGGTACCCAGAGCTGTAGCTTGAGCTTTCAAAAAGACACTTGACATGCAAATTCCCAGTCTGCACCTAAGTCTTAGGAGACCCTGGAGGGGGAGCCCAGTGATCTGCAGCTCAGGTGCTTCTCAGGCAAGCTAAACTAGGACCTTAAAGGAGAAGGAGGGCCGTGTGGGCCCAGGGGTTTGAAACTGATGTTTGGGCCTCTTTCTTCTGGCCATGGTAATTTCCACCTGGTTTTAAGAAACAGAACTTTTCAGCAAACCCACAAATATAAATTAAATACAGAATTTACTGTAAAATTAGTTTACTGTGTAGAGTTATTGATTCTAAACCAATGAATATTTGGGTCCCCCAGTGTTACCTATCATCTCCCACATAGTCACTGGTCTGTGAGAACTCCCTGATAGCAATTGGTAGCAGGTCAGTGTGGTCACTCAGGGATTTTGGAAATAAAATCTCCAAAAGAGCAGCTCAATGCCTGCTCTTCTCCGGGGGAGGGGCCTGAGACTCCCTAAATGGTTTTACCTCTTTTAGGAAGAAACCACTGAGCTGTGAGTTTTGATCTGTTTCTAGATGACTCCTGTCTGTCCCCCTGGTCAGAAAGGGACTAGATTTTTTCCTTCATTGAGGAATCAGTAGTTTGTTGTCCCTTCAACCTTCTTCACCCCAACAGCCTCTGCACATACTCAATCAGCTAGCAATCAGACAGATGAGCTTCATTGCTCGTTCACGGAAGCTCTCCCCAGGAAGTAGGGGAGAGAGCCATGGTCAGCAACCACGGTAAAATGAAACCTGAGCCTGAAGCCACAGACTCTTAGAGGGCAACTTCTAGGTGAGGCTGAAAACCCAGCGACCTCATGTGTCAGTCACTTCCAGGACTGTGACAGACCCTGAGAAAGCACTCTGGACGGACTGGTCTTGGCTCACACTCTCAGAGGTTTCAATCCGTGGTTGCTCGACTTCACCAGTTCTGAGCTGCGGTGAGGCTGGAGCAGCACACAGCAAAGCAGAGCTGCTCACCTTGTTGCAGCCAGGAAGCAGCAAGCAGTATCAGGAGGGGCCAAGGGGAATACAGACCCTTCAAAAGTGGTGACAACCCACGTTTTTCAACTCAGCCTCAGCTCTACAGGTCTGCTGCCTCTGTTAGTCTATTAAAATTCTGAATCCATTTATGGATCTAACCATTGACTAAGTCAAAGCCTGCCTGATCTAATCAGTTTTGGAAAGGTCCTTGCAGACACAGCCAGAAGTGTGTTTTACCACTATCCTTAGGTGTCTCTCAATCTGGTCAAGTTGACCGTCAAGACCAACCATTCACACCCATGCTCAGGACCACGAAATGTCAATCCAGCATTGGCCATATTCCGTGCTTGGTCCAACAGCTTGAAAACGTCAGTGTTGAGTTTTTCCATTTTACAAAGAGGAAAAGGCATGCCCAGGAGAGGCTGTGGACGTTTATAGAATTGCGTGTCCAGGAAATTGCAGAGCCAGAATCCAAAGCTGGACGTGGGACCCCAAAGTCTGAGCAGAGTAGGTTTGGGTGATAGCTGCTTTCCTCCTTGAAAAGGGAGTTAACTAAAGCTCCGAAGCTAGCCTCATGGCCTCTTTTAATTAGAACAAGCAGGCTTTACAGTGTCAGGCCCCGTTTGTGGGATGGTATTAAGTTTTGAAGATATCAGCTCAATAAATGTTTCTGGGTAGCTCTTTACTGCTGTGGGCCAAGCATTACTCAGTTGGTGGAGATGGAGTTGGGAGGGGATGAAGCTGGCAGGGGCATCAATGGATGCTGACCCAGTCCTACATACTAAAGAAGGCTTCAGAATGGAGGTGAGAGCTGAGCTGAACTGGAGAACATTAGTTGCACTACTAAGGGGTTTCACCGGCCAGGTATACGTAGCCTCACTGTGGAGCTGAAGTCTGAACAGCGTGGAGTCTGGGACAGGGGAAGCAACCGAGGAACGAAATAGGATCTGTAAACTCAGAGTCCATCCATGGCTGTTCTCTGCACACAGGAAGCAGAGTGAACCAGAAGTGGGTGGGACTTATAACCCTCCAGTCCTCCCCAAGTGCTGTACTTTCTCTACCACACTTCTACCTCCTAGAAGTCCCACAGCTTCCCACAAAGGTGCTCCACACCTAGGACCAGCACTCAAATACATGAACCTGTGGGGTAGATCCCCACCATTACCACAGCCACCAAGAACCGGTGCAGGAATGTAGAATTCATTTTCAGGGCCACAGAGCCAGAATGAGGCTGCATCTCTCTTTTGTTTATCATTTATTTCTTATTTTTGAGATAGGATTTCACCAGCCCTGGCTGACCTGCAATTCATTCTGGAGACCCAAACTCATAGGGATCCTCCTGCCTCTGCATTTTTTAAAAAGTTTTTAAAAAGTACATTTATTAATCTGCTTATTTATTTATTGTTTGTGTACATGTATGTGTGTTGGGAGGGGACACACACATGAGGAGGTCAGAGGACAGTTTGCGGGAGTCAACTCTCTCTGTATACCATGTGGGTCCCAGGGATGGAACTCAGGTCACCAGGTCTGGCTTTGACCAGCACTTTCACCCAGTGAGCTACTTTGCCAGGATTCTGCTTTGTTTATGGAGTGGCCACCAGAATGTCCATCTCTGTGGGGAGTAGGCAGAGAAAGGAGTGTCTGACACGGACATAGGTGGAACGTAAGGAAATGCACATGCATGCAGCATATGAATGGGCCATAAAGACAGAAGCCAGGGAGAAGGGAAAGACCCGGTGACATACATGACCTCATATCACTTATGACACAGTAATGTGTGTTGGTGAAACTCATTCCAATGGCCACCTACCAGAGAGCTGAGGGGATGATAAGCAGAACTACAATGAATCAAATTGTCAGTTGACCAAGAGAGGCCAGTGAGACTCTCATGGTCTATACAATAGGATATCTGCCCACTCCCCAATGGGATACACCATGGAAGGATGGCTGTCTGCTCCCCGATAGTATACACCAC